AACTATGTCTGTAGCCAACTGGTTGTCTGTAGCTGGTATCTTTGGCTTGATCCATACAAGGTCGCTATTTGCGAGTGAGGACTCAGTATGTTACCTTTTAGTTAAAAATTCATAACAATGAACATGATGTCATTTAATTTTAAGTTCAATTAATATTTCATTATATTTAATCCATATTTTAAGTTCCGTTTTAAATGTTATATGTTTTAAATGTTAAAAGTAACTGATGGTCTGATGTGAGCTAAAACGTTTTGAAAAATTTGGTACACGTAAACTCATCACCAATTAGCATAAATACCCTCATAGACAGTACAAACTCATCACCGCCATAAAAATAGGGATTTGAAAATTGACCCAGAGAGATTGGTAAACTCATCCCGTTTCAGGTATAGACCATAAACCTTTTGCAGACCGCTAAGATTTTGTAATTCAACAGAATAAATCTAAAAGAGATGTATTAAATTCAAATGCAATTCATTGGTTTTTATTTGGGAATTCCACAAAATTCTATTGATAGCTACATAAAACTATGCGAAAAGAAATTTTTTTCTTCATTTGCCTTGTTCCTTTAACATGTGAATTGCTCATTGATTAAGTTTTGAGCCAATGCGAATGAAAGAGGAGAGTTATCAATAATAATTTCAAATTTCAATTGCGAAAGACTCTTAAATTGAATTGTATTTTGTGGACTTGGGCGAAGAAAGGGTGTTAGGCTCAATATCATACAACTGGGAGTAGATTTTATTCCGTTTTTTGTTTAGTTGTTTCGCACGGGAGTAGATTTTATTCCGTTTTTTTTAGTTGTTTCGCACTGGTGGCTGATCATTCTGATCAAACAGAAAAAAAACAGCTTAAGTTCTTTAAGTCAACTGTACAAGATGTGTTTGTAGACAAGAGTTATGTGTTTCACATACCCAAAAAGTTTTAGATTTTAGGTAGATAATTCTGAAACATTGAATATATCAAAAGTATGCCATATATTACTTACGTTGACCTTTTACCTATGGATGTGACGCAAAAGATTTTTGGTTTTTTTATGATGACAGTTTTACATTTCATTAATTAAGTTTGATTGTTGGTTAAATTTTCTGAATTTTAATTGAAATAGAATAAGAAAATGAATATTTACAAAACTGTTAGATATATGCGAGGTTCCTACAGCCTCTGTCGCATCTCGCATTTCGACCGCCATCGTTTTCTGTCCATCTATTCGTCTTCTTTGATGGCTCTATCTCTCATTATATGTCGTACATTTTCTTCCCAGGCAACTGAAGGCCTTCCCCTTCTTCTTCTTTGTTGTGGTATGTAATTTAAACCTTTCTTTGGCCATCTATCTTCATTCATTCGCTTTACGTGACAATACCACACTAGTTGTCTCGTTTCAATTCTGTCTACACTGGAATATACAGTATTTGTCCTCCTTCTAATATCTTCATTTCTGATATACAAATCAAGGTATGTATATAAAATATGTATTAGTTACTTATGGATTATCCATTTGAGAAAAGTATGGTATAATAATAAGTGTGAATCGGTGGAATATTGAAGATGATCTCTATTAAAAAACAGCCTAAATCATGCCACATGTAGCATCTTGTACAGACGAAAATAATTTTTGGTGATATACCAAAACCGCTTAGATTAATATCTACTTTTAAGCAATAATTTGCTTAAAATAATTTCTGAATTTAATAAATTACCACATAAACGAGAAGTGTAACAGGTAACAGGCAATATTCCGCATTGGAAACTTGCGCCTTAGGGCAAAAATACTGGTGATGAGTTTACCTATCTGCGGTGATGAGTTTACCTATCTCCAAAGGATGCTGGTGACCAGTTTACTATATTTCAGAGGTCTAATAATTTTATGGCGGGCTATAAAGTGATGAGTTCGTACACGTCCGAAAAATTTTGAAATCCTTTTGAATATTTTCATTTTTATTCATACAAGTTTTTTTAATACTTTGACCTCCAAATTTTGTTTGCTTCTATAGTAACCAAAAACTCTTTCAATACATTATCGTCCTTACTAGTGGTGTTTTTTTTAATATTTGAAGGTACAGATAAGGACTCTGTTTTAGGTGAACGTCAATCACTGTCGTTAAATATACAAAAAATAAAATATATGAAAGTTTCTATTACTTTATGAAAATGCTTATGTAAATAGTTGATCAACATTGCAAAAATAAGAAAAAAGAAAGTGGACCATATTTAATCGATTTATTTAACCGATAATGCACAGTCACTTTAACCATCTATAATTTCGGAGCGTATAGCTCCTAATATCCAATACCAAATCGGAATAGTGTCTCTATCGGACACCGAAATCAAATATTTGTCCGTGGGTTCTGGTCGCGTCTATTTTCTTTCGTTATTTAAAAGTAACGGTCTCATCGACTATCTCAAATAGATATATTGTGATCGAACGGGGCATAATCGAGTTTCTACTAATCCCAGATAAGATCGCAGTGTTTCGACGAATTCATTAAAATATCGTTTTCTTTGGACCATTGTCAATTTTAATGACGATAAGAGAAAGTTTAAAATTTTCTAATTTTTAAAATAAAAATTTCATCATATGATACAGAAAACAAATTTCATTTCATTCTTGTTGTCTATGTAGAAGCATTTTTGGTGCATTGCCAACGAAATCACTGCTCCAAATTATATAAATTTCGATTTATACATAATAAAATATTCACAAAAATTAAATTGGTAAGTAAGCACAGAACGCAGATATTAAGAGCCACAGCTTTTAAAAAGACTGCATTATAAATGGTTTCGAATATACTCAATAATAGTAAAATGGTATGACAGGTGACACCACTCCCCTCTCAATGACTGATGTTAACTTTACAGCAGCAATAGAAACTTATTCTCAGAGTGTGTGACGCAACAATAGTAACTTATTTGTCAATATTTGATTTCCCAAAATTTTCTTCCGCCATTGCCATAAACTACCGTTTTATATCCCAAACGCGATATTCTACAAAAATGGCTTACAGCAGCAAAAATATTGCTTAAACCGAATTGGAAAAGAATTACTGAGATAAGAAGCAGGCGAAACAGATCTGGAGGAAACCTAGTATAGAGACGAGTCATCAACATCATAAATCTGTTTGAGTCCACTTTCAAAAATAGGCCTCCTCGATAACGCATATTTCTACCCTGTGCTATTGCAATCCAATTCGTTGAAATTCTCTTGATGTCATCTAACCCTCGGCGTCGGGTGTGAGGTCTGCCACGGTTACGTTTATCACTTTTTGACATTCAGGAATATTCTTGGTTTATCTCCTACCTCGTAATCCTGCTACAGGTCACGCCCATCTTCATTTAAGTGTTGCAATGCGTTCGAAAACGTCATCCATCTGTGATCTATGTATCTCCTCTTTTCTTCTCAACTACAAAGCTAATCCTATCTCTCAGCGATATGCCAAGCATTGAGCATTCCATTTTTCTGTGGGTTATTTCTAACCGTTCGGCTGATTTTTTAGTACGGGCAAGAGTTTCGGCTACGTTTGTAAAAAATGGCCAGATAAACTGGTTAAATGCTCTTGTTTCGATGCTGATAAACACACCCGATTTGAAGATGTATATTAATTTGTCATAGGCAGCCCAGCTCAGCTCAGTTAACGAGGTTGATATAAATCAAGTTTTCTTTGCATCCTGTTGGGAAGTATAGGTGTATATTTGTATATATGTAATAAGTTATAAAGGCTAATAGGACTCTAGTGCTCTAGGTCAGATAGATCTCCCTTTCTTATGGAGTACGTTCATAACAGCGTTATTCAATTTTTTTGGGGTTTCTTGTTGATGTAGACACAGGTTAAATAGTTCATGTATTTCAAGTATTAACTTTCTAAGGGCGTGATGTCTTTCGTCTATTGTTATGCCCGAAATTTATCCCGAGCCTTGGTTTAATATATCTTTTGCTACACAGTTTTCCTGGTTTTCTGTAAATTGATACTAATTTGCATATAGCTCTCCATAAAATTGTTCGGCTATATATGGTATTTCTTCTCTCTTATGTGTAATTCTTTTGTGTGTATTTTTGTTCCTTTGTTATTTTCTATGGCTCTGATTAGTTTGTTTTTACTTTCTTAAATCCTTCTTAATTGCTTTTGATATATCCTTGTTGATATTGTTTAATTCTCTTTAGTTCACGTTTCCTTCCCTTCCGATGCTTTAACTTTGTATTTCCGCCCTCGTTTCGAGACTTATTTTTCTTTCTTATTTGTTCTTCGGGCAGAGTTTATTTTGGACATACGTGACTATTTCGGCAATTGTGACGATTACTGAACATAAAAATAAAGAAATTAAAAGGCAGTATCATAATTAATGACCAAATTTACAAGTCATGAAGTCCAAATTGCCAGGGACGACCAAACTGCTGAACTGCAAGAAAGGATTCTATCAGACATGTTCAATATGGACTAGGGATGGCATGATGGAACTGGAGCGGGTACGTTGGAATAGGTTTTAACCGTCTATTCCACACACCAGTGGACAAAACGTCGACGGCATCGGTTTCGATTCCATCGGCGCCGCATTAGTTGAGTACACTTTGCGCATCGGCCGGTCAAGAAATTTACAATCAAACTTGAATTTTAGACATTAGTTAAGCGCAATGTAGAGATTAGAGAACGCATCGGCAGGGTTCGTTTCGATTCCAATGTCTATCTTTCAAAAATGTCTAAATAAAATATAATACTATTAAATAAATATATTGTAAGGAAAAGATACTCTAACTGTCAATATGTTTTACTTACAAAATGCATAGTCATAATTTAAGAACAACAGTCTTTGAACCTTTGTTGACCTAAGACGATTTCTTCTGTTGTTTAAAATCTAGCCTGCTTTAGAAAATAAACTTTCACATGGCACTGATGTTGCCACAGCACATAAATTTTTCCTAGAAAAATAACTAAGATTTGGGTACATATACTGACAACTTTTCCACCAATCTAAAGGATGTTTATTTCGGTCCAAAATATCATTTTCTAGATATCTCTGAATCTCATTGTAGACTTGGTAGCAGAGCTTTTATATGAACTTTTGTTACCTTTAGATGAAACTATTTTGTCCAATGTTGACCATATACATAACTTATTTTCGTTGTGTTGTATATTTTCCTTTTCGTTGGATACTTCTTCAAGTTGTCTTTCCTCTAATTCATAAAAAGTAACTTCTTTATTAGAAATTATGTAACAAAGTTCTGCTTTAACATTCTTCTTTACCTTTTCCATAGCATCAAGGTTTTTAAACCCTAAAATCTTAAAACGTGGGTCCAGGAATATTGCCATTGCTAGGGTATCATTATTTTCAATATCATCCATCCTTTCTTTGAGGCCTCTTTGCAATTTATGAATGACCGTATTGGCTATCGGTGACATCTCCCAATTGAGAAGCTCCTGACAAACATTTTGTAACCCCACCGTGATTATTATCACCATCGAAGCGACTATTTTACAAATGTTACATTTTGCAATTTGTTTTGTTGCATCCGCAACGGAAAAAAAATCCATATGATACTGGTACGCCTATTCATATTGTCGAAGTTTATAAAAATCATTACAAAACTTAACACTGACTTATACTGTGCCACAACAACTGTGAAAATAAATTCTACCCAAATGCATTAAAAACCCCTACAGTGCGGCAGAGTTCAAGAATCAATTCCTCGAAACACCCACAAATTCCCTCTACTAGTTCGATCGTTTGGATTCGGTCGATGCAACGCAACACAACAGTTGTAGAACAACTAGGAGCAAGCTAGCGGTGATCGGTGATCGATATGAAGTGTTTTCACATCGGAATCAGAAAATCGCATTAGGTTTCTAGAATAGGTATGAGTTTGAAATAGGTTCAGTTCCAACCTATTACCGAAAAATGCTATTCTGTACCATCCCTAATATGGACCTCTATCAGACATGTTCAAGAGCAACATGCCAAATTATTTGAGAAAGAAGACGTTCAACCAATGTGTGCTTCCAGTCATGAATTACGACGCCGCAGCAACCAACCCATGCATTGCTATAGCGCATAGCAGGGCTGAAGTGGAACTAGGCTGATCATGTGACCAGAATGAATGACAGTCGTTGGACCCGGTGTTTTTATATATGGGCCATTTTTAAAGCGACAGTGAGCGCGAAGCATTTTGAATTTTTAATGAATTGTGTGCGATGCGATGTGATGAAAAAGAAACAAGAAAAGAGAGACAAAAAGATGACAAATATGTTCTAGAAGAATACGTACCTATTGAATAGCAACTTCTTGGTTTCTGTATACGTTGCAGTTTCAAAATCTATATAGACAAATTAGTCAGACAAATAGGAAATAAAAATAATGATGACGCTCATAAAACTATCAAGTTGAAATAAACTAGATTAGAAGTTTTACCAACGCAAAATGTCTTTAAAGGGCCTACAAAAATTTCAAAATGGGTAACTGGTAATCACCTTATCACACAGCAGGAAAGTTGTTGAGAAAAATAAACCCAACATAAAACTATCATTTTTATCAAAGGAAAAACTTTTTCGTAGTTTATTTCTTAGAGTAGATTGTTGGATGCGACCGCAACAAAACTGTTTTTTTTTCCCAAAGGAAGGAAGATAAAAAGAAGGAAGCTATCTAGTTTTTACACAATACGTTTACACTACGTAAAATTACATTTCTATTAATTCCTGCCAAATAATCTCCCAATGTGTATAAATACTTTTATACCCAAACCCAAACAATTTGCTTTGGGTAAAAAAAAACCTAAACAATTTGCTTGTAGAAAAATAAAATGATTAATGACTATTTGATATAATGTAGATTCATTATCAGTAAGATATTATCTTTACTTTCATATTTATTGATTTCAAAAACTTCTAGATAGTTAATGTTGTAATAAAAATTTGTTTGACTATGTAACATTTCGAAATTAATATAATTTTTCTATATTAGATGAACTATTTTGTATCTATATAAGAATTTATTTCACCGTTAGGATTATTTTAAAAGAATGTACTCTAGTAAATGAAAAAATACCCTTAAATAAATTCACTACTTCCGTGGAAGATATTCCTAATTCTTTCTGCACCCTTTTACAAATTTTGGTCGTTAGTAAAATATTTTTTAATTTAGATAATTTTGTTCTACGATAAATAACTTTTCGTAACGTTTTACCTCTCGTTTGTACACAAGTACAAATTAAATATAAAAACCATGAAAAAAGTTCTAAAAAAAGTAACTGCTGGCATATTTATTCAAAATTTTCATGATTTAAATAAAAACGCTGTTTAAAATATAATATTTATACTATACCTTGTACAAAACAATATTTATTTAGTTCTGCATATACTTCCGTAAAAAAAACACAAGTGGTAAAAGTTTCACATGCATTAAAATGGAATGCATGCATAAGCGAATTCATCCGTAAATGAATTAATTTAACAAAATGTTTGTTTAATAGACTTCTAATAAATAAAACAAAATATGTAATTAATATTCATTAACGATTTGATTTAATAATAATCAGAAAGTTGGAAACAGTATCAATAAAAACACTAAAAACGATTGAATGGATTTCGAATTTTAAAAAAGCAGAAATAAAGAAATAAACCAGAAAGGGTAAAATAAACTATAAAAATGAGCTGCTAGAACACATTACAGAACTTAACCGGAAAAGCAAAAAGAAATATACGAAGAAAAACGGATAAACAAGAAAACAGTATAAACAATCAGAAGGAAATAATCAAAAGATGAAAGGAATACATCGAAGAAGTATATGCTAAATTGTCTCGTTACAAACATTTAGTAGCTGAGTTATATTACTGGCCTGGTGCGCAACTCTATTAAGAAGTTTATATCGAAATGCAGATTTTGTGCTACATTCAAGTCTAGCAATATGCCACAAGCTGGATTAATGGGTTCTTTTAGAAACATTGACTTCTCATGGCAGATGATACTATATATGTTTCTTATTGGAGAATACCGTCGTAGTTACAATGGTAATACAAATATTTTTTGGTGATCGTGGATTATTTCAATAAATTTCCATTAGTTTTTCCTCTTCGTAAGTCCACTGTACTTTGGAGAAGCAAGTCTTTTTGTTATTTGGTGTTCCCCAAGTCGTATCTTGTGACAATGGTCCTCAGTTTGTATCTAAAATTTTTAACGACCTCCTAACAAAATACAAAGTACATAAGATCTTTTATAATGCTGCATACCATCCACAAGTCAACCATAGTTAACGTGTAAACCTCAATATTGTCTCAGCCCCAAAATCTTATACATACCACGGTCATAGAGCTTGGAATCAATACATCCACTCCTTAGCTCAAGTCATAAGAACTTCTGTCCGTGAAGTTACTCAGTGTTCTACAGCTAACCTTAATTTTGGTACAAACGTTCCATTACCGCCACATCCAAAGTGTTGACCAAAATCATATTGGAAAAATTAAAGCCGGGCCTAGATAAGAAACCAAGAAGAATCTATACACATTGGTTTATATGCCAAACGCTCCATCATTGACCACATTTGTATCCTTAGAACAAGCAAATAAATGGCAAAAAGATACAGGTGAGGGTTTTATCGATTGTGAAAGGGCCTTCGACCGTGTAAATAGGGTATAAATGTGGAAAATCTTAAGACTATAATAGGAGATACCAGAAAAATCATTACCTAACTTATTCCCTTTTCTATGAAGGATACAAAGCCAAACTGAAAGACCCAGAAGAAATAACAGAAGGAAATAGCCATACAAAGTGGAGTGAAACATGGTTTTGTACTGTCCTCTACCCTATTCGTTATTAGGATAAATTGGATAATGAGAAAAATAACAAATGATCGTACAGGCATCAGATGGAACCTATTCAAACAATTAGAAAATCTTGAATTTTCAGATGATATCCTAACTGAACACTGCAGACCAGAATCATATGTAAACAAAAATTGATAAATTGACATAATGAAAACCAAAATCTTAAAAAATAATAACCATCCAAATAATAAAACAATTGTAAAGGGTAAGGAAGTAGAAGAAGTAGATCAGTTTACATATTTGGCATTACCTATTAAGAAAGGATGGAGGAGTGTAAGGATATACAGACAAAAAAAATAAAGCCCCTACAAGCATTCAATGTTTTCAAGCAAGTGAAATACCGGAAATAACTAAAATTAAAATCTTTAATAGCTTCCTCATAATATACCTACTATTTTAAAGAGCAGAAACATGGAAACGGGATGAAGTTTTATTTTTATTAGCGAGCAAGATTTATACATCTTTTGGACAATTCTTTGTAAATCGTTACTTTTTTCTGTCATTAATATTGTATTATTGTTCAAAATTGCACTTACGACCACTCCAGATGTTTCGTTATGCAGTGCCCCTTGCATCTTAATGAAAAAATTTTAAAAATATATAAAATATTATGGGAGTTGTAATTCCTTAAGCCATAAAAGCCCCAAATTTGCGTGTATGTTTTAATTAAATTAATATTGTCGCACCGTTAATTGAACACAATGTTTTTTAAATTTTTTGGATGTAGTACCCTTTAAAAGTCGCTTAAAAGCGACTTTTTATCGAAATAATGTCTCTCTTTCTTTATATCTAAAAAATTCGTGAAACATCAGCGTAAGAATACCTGTGATCACAAACCAATTGAGATATGTCGATAAATTTGGACTCCATTTTTGATTGATCTCATACAATTACGTCGTTCCAGAAACTCCAGTTCAACACCCAATGTGTCTAACAAAAGGAGGCTACTTGCTACATCACGAGATTATCATTAAAATTGTTTCAAGAGAAAATTTTGGAGACTGCGTAATTTTCCTGAACACAAACTTCCTCTACGCTTCTGAGTATCTCCTGATATAACAATTATTGCTGCTTACGTATGAACAATTCTGAAATATGGCGTTTTTTACGGAAAATCCAATGTCAACTATTGACCATAAAGAAAACTCACGTAAAGAACTTATAATATTTTAATTTTTATTATTTAATTTTTCATAAAGCTTCAGTTTTCAGTATCCTGTTCAGTTGTTTTAATGCGTAGTATATTTAGAACATTTGTAAGGTTTAACCGTTACAATTATTTTCTCTTCGTCATTTATCTTAACTTTTTCATAGGAATAGCACGAGGTTGTTTTTAAGAATTTATTATTTATTGTATTGAATATTAAAATCTGCTGTCAACATTCGTTCCACCGAGACAGTACTAAAAGGTAAATTAATCCTAATAGCAATAATCTGATAGGAGTTTCTCTAACCAATGTATGTATCTGGTCATTCCCATTGTATTGCAGGTGTATGAAATATGAACGATAAATATCAATGCAATAAAC